GTTCATGCCATGGATGCGTCCATGGATTCAATTGGTGTTGATGACTTAGGAGCTTATATGAATGATAAAACCTCTAATGATGAATCAAATGATGCACTCATTGATTCTACAACAACACATATTATCTTGCGAGATAAAAAATTTTTTATTAGAAAATCTTCAACTTGGCAAACTAAAAATATGATGACCATGGCTGGAGCAAATGCATTTTGTTTCGAAGAGTGCACAGCGATGGTAAAATTACCTGCGAGTTCCATCATAAAATGTAAACATGTGATGTTTGCATCCTTTGCACCTCAGAGTCTAATCAGCTACCGAGATGTGCGTATTAATGGTTATCACCTCTCGATCGCTATTTTAAATAGAAAAGAGATTTTGGTTCTTGCAAAGAACCATAAAGTTGTTGAAAAAGCTCTTGCTATAAAAAATGATTTATACTGAATTGTGATTCAACCTCCCATTATATTTAATTTTGCATCATCTATTATAAAGAGTCGTGTTTCTCTCTGGCATGGACGATTAGAACATCCAAGATCTACATTATTTAGAAAGATTATTTCATATATAACTGGACATAATTTAAAGCCTATGGATGTAGACTCTATAGAATTATGTCGTGCATGTGTGCAAAGTAAAATAATTACTCTGCCTTTAATTTGAAAACTTCCACAAGAATTACTACCAATGCTTGAAAGATTGCATGGTGATATTTATGGTCCTATTAATCTAATATTGGCACCATTTTATTATTTTTTAGTCTTTGTTGATGCATCAGGTAAACAATCACATGTTTCATTATTATTAACTTGAAACATGGTGTTTGCCAATCTTATATCTATGCTTATTTGTTTTTGGGCATATTTTCCTGATTATCCTATAAAAACATTGCGAATGGATAATGCAAAAGAATTCACATTAAAGTCTTTTGAAGACTATTGTATTGTAACAGGAATTGAATTGACATATTGTATTGCATATGAACATTCTCAAAATGGACTTTTAGAGTCATTTATAAAGCGTATACAACTCATTACTTGGCTCCTCTTCCTTCTTGCAAATTTATCTACATCTATGTAGGATCATGTAGTTTTACATGCTACAGTATTAATACGCCTCCGCCCTTCTTCTCTTGAAATTATTTCACCACATGAGCTCATTTTGGGTTGTGTTTCAAATATATCTCACTTATGAGTATTTGGTTGCCATATTTGGATTCCATTACCAAAACCTCAATGGCGTACCATTGGAGCTCATCGACAAGAAGGCATATATATTGATTTTGATTCACCAAGCATTACTTGTATTGTTGATCCATCCATTGGCACATTATTACGTGCACGTTTGTAAAATTGCCATTTTAAAGAAAATATATTTCTATTTCTTCAAGGACTAATATCCAATCAACAAAGAAATAAAATATTCATATTTGAAGCACCAAAAATATTTACAATGAATCCCGATCCTATGACATCTTTGGTAGAAAGTGAAGTTGCAAAGATTTTACATCTAAAACAGATTACAAATGAAATACCTGATGGCTTCAATGATTCACCTAGAATTATAAGAGTTCCTATTAATGAGGCTCAGAATGCACGTACTCATATTGTAATGCCATTGATTATAATACCTCAAGTTATAACAACAACAATTAAAAGAACTCGTGGACCAGATAAGCAACTATGTAAGAAGAAAGCTATAAAATTAACTAATCCTGGTATTATTTCTCAAGAAATTGCCACTCATCTTACATGACTACCAATTCATGATGATATATCCATGCATAATATACCTTCAATTCCTATGAAAAACTAATCTTGGAATTAGAAAGAATAAGAACAAGTTGAATAAAGAATTATCTATTTTGTATTGTGCTAGAGATGATATTTGGGACAGACCATCTATTATGGTAGATGAATCATTTGCATATATGATTATAGAAGCCCTTTCTTGCGACAAAGAGGATCCTGAACCTCAAACCATCAAAGAGCTCTGATTGGTCAAAATAGAAAACTGCTATTGAGGAAGAATATGCCTCTTTACATAAGAAGAAAGTCTTTGGTCCAATTGTGGATACTCTTACATCTTGCCCTATGGGATATAAGTTGGTATTAATACACAAGCAAGATGCTCAAGGTCAAATAACCCGCTATAAAGCTCGTCTTGTTGCTCAAGGAATTAGTCAACAATTCGGCATTGATTATGAATCTACATATTGTCCAGTCATGGATTCGATTATATTTCGATATATTATTGGAATGACAGTTCATGCCACCCTTGAGATGCATCTCATGAATGTAGTAATTGCATATCTATATGGTTCTCTTGATGCAAATATTTATATGAAAGTTCCACCTGGCTTAGAAATAAGAACTCCAAATGGATCCGCTCTAGGACAATATTGTGGTATTAAATTATGTAAGGCCTTGTATGGTTTAAAACAATCTAGATGCATGTGGCATGAATGTCTTCGAGATTATTTAATTACAAATAATTTTATAAGTGATCCACTAATTCCTTGTTTGTTTATGAAACGAGATAAAACTTGTTTTGTGATCATCGCTATAGATATTGATGATCTTAACCTAGTAGGCACTACATCTGCATGTGTTACAATTGCTAACCTACTTATACGTGAATTTGAGATGAAAATGCTAGGAAAAATAACTTTTTGCATTGGTCTTCAGATTATGCATCTAACAGATGGTAGTATTTTTCTCTACCAATTAACGTATATTAGACAAATCTTGTGAAGATTTAATATGATTGATGCTTATCCATTGTCCACACCAATGGTTGGATATGGTTATGATGGTCATGATCCATATCGTCCATGTGAGGAAGAGGAAGAAATATTGGGAGATCAATATCCATACCTTATAGCAGTTGGAACACTTTTGTATTTAGCTACATCTACAAGACCAGATATTGCATTTGCAGTTAGTATTTTTGCAAGACATAGTGCTTGTCCAACACTATGACATTGGAATGACATCAAATATTTATTACATTATTTAAAAGGTATTGAAGACTTGGGATTATACTACACACAATTTACAGATCCAAAATTGATTGGATATTGTGATGCAGGATATAAATCTGATATTGCAACAGCTAAATCTCAAACATGATATATATTTTTAAGACATGGAGCTGTAATATCATGGAAATCAGTGAAACAAATAATAACTGCAACTTCATCCAATCATGCAGAATTTATTGCCTTACATGAAGCATCTTGAGAATGTATTTGGTTGCGATCAATTAATAAATTCATTCAAACAATCTGTGGATTTTCATATGATGATTCTCTAATTATCTTGCATGAAGATAATAGTGTTTGTATTGCACAGATGCAAGTTGGTTTCATTAAAGGCAACATGACAAAGCATATTGATCTAAAGTATTTTAGTTATACCCATGACTTGATTACTGATCAAGCACTTATAATTAAGAAAATTGAATCTACAAATAACCTTGCTGATCTCTTCACCAAAGTTCTCCCATTAAGCAACCATCATCGACTTACTTATGGCATTGGTATGCAACGACTTGCTATTCTTGAATAAGAAACTTAATGAGCTCTTTAAATAATTAAAGAAAATGATGTTGTACTCTTTTTCCTTCATCTATGGTTTTGTCCTTAAATATAATAAGGTTTTCCTAGATAAGGTTTTAATGAGGCAACAATTGTTGAACTTGAAAGATCACAGAAAAGTATAGATCATAATTCTATACAAATTTTATATTATATAAATATTATGATGAGTAAGGAGGAGTGTTGAGATTATTAAATGTAGCCGATGCTCTCCATAATATTTAATGTAGACTATAGTAAATACCATAGCTATAATATTTAGAGTCTAGTGGAGAAGTACTGTTTATCTTCTCCTCTTTTCTCTTCTTGTATACGAGACACAACCAGATCAAATAGATTTGTGTATATGAAGCTCTCTCTCTCTCCTTAGAAACCCTCTTGTGTGTATGACTTACTACTACTCTTGTGTGTGTGTATTACTTACTATTACTCTTGTATATTTCTAAACATTTTCAATTGATTTCATTCTCTCACCATAAAAAAAATCTATTCAATATACTTATTCCCGTTTCTATAGGCTTCTTTTTATGTTGACTATTATCAAGCTTTCATTATTTGACATTTTAGTTATCAATATAAAAATAAAAACTTAAAACAATAACAAATTTTATTTAATTCAAAAGACTTATTCAATTAAAGTAGAGAAAACTTGTTTAGCAAGCTAAATGATTGTATAATAATTGCAATAATATCAAATCACTAATATTTGTATATAATAGAATTTTTTTGTTATAAAAATTTAATTTAAAAATTTACCAAAAAATATTATAGTCTTAAAAAGTTGTACAATATTTTTTTGGTTGAGAATGATTCAATATTTTACAATTCTTATGTGTAGCACGTGACCACCATACCTTAACCACTTCAAATAGTAATGGATCTTAAATTATTCATAAATATAAATATAGAAATATATAGAATATAAATATAATAATATATATTTTTATACAAAACCGGTGATTCTTTTTACCCCAACAGGTTAAACCAAGCACAAAGGCGCTCTAAACTTGAATGGGGACGGGGGACAATTGAAGGTGAAGGGTAGAACTCATTTTAAACGCTCTTGATCTGTGATTTTGCACGGTGCTAACAGCCTTAGCCAATTGCTGATTTTTGTGGACAGACACCTTTTTATTTTTATTTCTAATGTGAAAGCAGATATCCCACTGAAAAGAAGACCAAGAAAGAAAATAAATCAGTTGTGATGGGGACTAAAACTTACAGATATAACATTACTTAGAGTAGGGAACAATATCCAGCGGAGACAGGCGCGAGAGGTCCTACATCCGCGCTGCCAGGGTGGCAACTCTCGTGACCGTCCCGTTAGGTTTGGCGTCGATTGCGCGGGCACCCATCGCCGTCGTCGTGTAGGTGTTCTTCGTATTTTTCTTCGTCTTCTTCTTCACAACCAACAACGACGCGGGGCGCGTGCCCAGTCGGTCGGAACACAGTATGGAGTCGAACTAGGATTTTAAGCTTCGAGCTCCCTGCTTCAACAGAACGGGACGCAGCGGAGGAGAGTGATTTGTTAGGGCTCAGGGAGGGCTTCCGTATTCGCGTTCTAAGAGCAGGCAGGCAGGCAGGCAGGCAGGGTGTTTGACAAGGCGGGCTGAGTGGTGCCGAGGCGGACGGAGTTTTGTGCTTTCTTTTCTGGTGAAGATTTTTGAGCCTTAGAGTGGAAGCGAATAGGATACACCATGGGAGTCCCGGCGTTTTACCGATGGCTGGCTGACAAATATCCTCTTACGGTGGTAGATGTGATAGAGGACGAGGTGCAGGTGATTGAAGATGTTAAGGTTCCGATTGATACTACGAAGCCGAACCCTAATAAATTGGAGTACGACAATTTGTATTTAGATATGAATGGGATTATACATCCTTGTTTCCATCCCGAGGATCGGGTACGTGCACGCTCGAGGGAGTGTGATTTTGTTTTTTGGGAGGGGGGTGTGGTGCCTCATGTGGCCTAGCAGAAATTGGGCCTCGTGCATGGGAGAAAGCATGCTATATCTTATTCGTGGTTTTGTAGTGGTTGATGAGTTGTGGAAGTATTTAGGATGCTGATGAAGTTCCAGAGTTGACTTTTGTCACGTGAGTTTTTTCTTATGAATGTTTCTTGTTGTTAATCATTTTGTCTGAACTGATTTGGGCCTCATCTCTGAGTTGTGTCACGTTGTTTATGTGCAGCCTTCACCAAGTACCTACAGCGAGGTGTTTCAGTGCATGTTTGATTACATTGACCGTCTTTTTTCGATAGTGCGGCCCAGGAAGCTTCTATTTATGGCTATAGGTACGCGAATCCCTCCTTTGTATTGTGTGCTTGATAGTAGTTTCACGAATAACTGAAATCTTTAAAATTTAAAGAGTAGATTGTGTAACTCGAATAAATTACTGTGATGGGGACTTCCTTACAACTTGTTGATCTTTTTCTGTCTACTGTTACAATTTAGGCACACGGTGCTCATGCTCTTCGTTCTAACAACGGAAACGCTGTATTGTTGTCTTAAAATTTGAAGATGGTGTGGCGCCGAGGGCTAAGATGAATCAACAAAGGTCTAGAAGGTTTAGAGCTGCAAAAGACGCAGCTGACGCGGTATGCTTTCCATTCATCTAGTTTCATTGAGTTGTTGAAGTCAGTGTACGTCGTAGTTGGTGTCTAACCCGGTTGCAATATTCTCAAGGCATAAAGCGCGCGCGTGCGCGTGTATGTAATTAAATGCTACCTATTCCCCAAATTAAGTCTGTGTAATTTATTGAGGGGCTTAAGGTCTTCCATATTTTGAAAATGCTTCCGATAGGTCACTTTCCAAATTTTGCATATCCTTCTCGTTACGTTTTGAATTTTTGTGTTCTGAGTCTTCCTCGTGTGTCCCAGGCAGCTGAAGAGGAGAGATTAAGATCTGAGTTTGAAGCGGAAGGAAGAAATATTGCACCCAAGGTCGCGAAAGACACAGTTGACTCTAATGTTATCACCCCTGGGACTCCTTTTATGGCTAGTCTTGCAACGGCTCTCCAGTATTATATACACTTACGCCTAAACTATGATGCTGGTTGGCAAAACATTAAGGTACATGATGTTTTCATGATTTACATTCATACTCACTGCCTTTGTAGAGAGTCTAATGAAGTTGGTGATGTAGGGATGTACCCATGCTCTTCACCTAGAAAACTCTTTCAATAGAGAATAAGGGTTTGATTTAATTTGTAGTTTGTGTTGGACAGCTACAGGTGTTCTCAGAGTCAAGCATTCAAGTTAGAAATAATAATATTTCAACGTTACATTGTCCTAACCATTTTTTCAAGGGCTATACCTTTTTTTAGAGACCATGGCCGTAAGTGAAACTAACTACTTCAGGTGAGTGCTTAAAACAGGTCATTTTATCCGATTCAAATGTTCCTGGAGAGGGAGAACACAAGATAATGTCTTACATCCGTCTCCAGAGGAACCTGCCTGGTTTTGACCCCAACACGCGCCACTGTCTGTATGGTTTGGTATAATTTTTTTGGAAACGACTATCAAATTCGTGTTCATTTTCTGATATCTTTTATGATGAATCTCGTCTTATAGAAAGTATTTAACCGTCAAATGCATTACAGGAATTCAATTATCATGTTTTGAATAGCGTTTAACGCCTTTTTAAAAAAAAAACTGTCTGCAGGATGCTGATCTGATTATGCTGGCTTTGGCTACACATGAACCTCATTTTTCCATTCTAAGAGAGGTACTGTTTGTTCCTGACTTGTAACTGTACTTTCTGTTATTCAACTTGGATATGAAAGTTTTGTTAATCAATCTCAAGTTTTACTTTCAGGATTAATTGTCATATTTCATATCTTTTCTGTTTGAGCAACGCGCAGGTTGTATTTACCCCCGGGCAGCAAGACAAATGTTTTTTGTGCGGACAGGCTGGTCACCTTGCAGCCGATTGTGAGGGTAAGGCCAAGAGAAAGAGGGGTGAATTCGATGAGAAAGGTGGAGAGGATGAAGTTCCAAAGAAGCCTTTTCAGGTATTTGACTAAAATTCGATTCTACTCCTGTATGTGCTTTACATTTCATTGAAAGCTTTGTTCGATTTCCAGCTTATGTAGTTTGTGTACTTTTGCGCTAATATTTTTATCTCCACTGGGATGCGTTGCAGTTTCTGCACATATGGACTTTGCGAGAGTATTTGGAGTTCGATTTGACGATACAAAATCCACCATTTGAGGTCGATTTTGAACGGCTTGTTGATGACTTTGTCTTCATGTGTTTTTTTGTGGGCAACGATTTTCTTCCTCACATGCCAACGTTGGAAATCAGAGAGGTTTTCTCAACAATCTTATTGTGTATCTATGAAGTCACTATTTGGGTTTTCGTGTTTGCTTACCAATTTATCACTAAGCATTTCTGCAAGTATATCTCAGTGGATGAATTTTACTCTGCATATTCCTTTAAACTGTTCACTTATGTCTGAAAGATATGTTGAGTTCAACACTATGTAGAACTTCGTCTGTTTTATCTATCTAAGCGTCGATGTTTCTGTTGACGTTGTTGGTATCTGTTGTATGGAACCACTCAGCATTTATCCTGTACATCTACTCTGTTGCTAACTTCTATTTTTTTTCCTGCAGGGTGCTATTAATTTATTGATGACCACATATAAGAAACATTTTAGGACATTTGGTGGTTATCTCACAAGAGATGGGGAGGTACGCTCTTAGAAATAGGGATTTTCGGTAATTTTGCATTTTCCTTTTGGGCATTTACAGTGTCGTTTGGATAAACTTGGTGTGGTCGAAACTTATCAGTTATGTTTCTATATGTTTTACCTACAGGTTAACTTAAAACGGGTTGAACAATTTATTCGATATATTGGTGCTATGGAGGATACTATTTTTCAGAAAAGAGCTCGTATACATCAGGTGAATATCATATTATACTTGGTATAATTTTCACTTTTAATGATTGTAATTCTGATTTCCTTGGCTTTTCCTTTTTTAGACATGATGATGAGCAGCCAGATCAATTTGAAAGTTGAATCATAAATTGTACATGCATAGCGACCAGTTTGAGTTTGTGTTCTTAGTGCCGCTCGTACCTTTGCTTTGCAACAGAACAAGGCCTTCTTGATTGTTGTCTGCGTTACCATGACTTTTGTCTCTTAAATTCCTATTATCTCATTCACAAATAATTAAAAGATCACATGTTGTATATGGGTCGGGTAGCGCCAATCAGATAGGCGTAAACGAGATCAGCAAAACAAGCAGAGACAACAACGTGGGAGAGGAGATGATGCGCAACCGACTAATATGCCGGACACTTTATATGCAGTACAGCGCAACGATTCCGCACGACTTGCTAACGCCCCTCAAGCGCCACAGCAGATTCAACAGAGGCCCTCTAGCGCTCCACCTGATGTTGGTACCAACAATAGACAGGCTGCTCAGCTATTGCGTGCTTCTCTTCAAAGAAACAAGAATCAAGCAAATGGGAAAGGTGGTCACACTACTGATGCAGAGGATGGCCCAGAACCCAAACTTGCACGAGTGGCTGATGCAGATAGTATTAGTGACGCTGTGGTTTTAAATGAGGTTGAATTTGAGAGAAACGCAGAAGATGAGGCTGATAATGCCGAGGATTTGAAGATAAAGCTGAAGACTGCTTTGCGAGACAAAGCAGATGTACTGAGCAATGGTGGAGAGATGGAGGATTCAGTGAAATTGGGTGAGCCTGGATGGAAGGAGCGCTATTACCAGGAAAAGTTTGAATGCAAAACTCCTGAAGAGATGGAGGCTGTTCGGAGGGATGTGGCCCATAGGTTTACCGAGGGTTTATGTTGGGTGATGCGTTACTATTATCAAGGTGTCTGCTCATGGAATTGGTATTACCCATATCATTATGCTCCATTTGCCTCTGATTTAACAGATCTGGACGAGATGAAGATAGAATTCAATCAAGGACAGCCATTCAAGCCTTTTGACCAGCTCATGGGAGTTCTACCAGCTGCCAGTTCGAAGGCTCTCCCGGAGCATTACAGAGCGCTGATGACAGATCCTGATTCTCCTATAATTGATTTTTATCCTGGAGATTTTGTGGTTGACATGAACGGAAAGCGTTTCTCTTGGCAGGGAGTTGCCAAGTTGCCTTTTATAGAGGAGGAACGCCTATTAACGGAAATAAAAAAGGTTGAATGGACTCTTACGCCGGAAGAAAAGCGGCGGAACTGTGTTCTAGCAGACTTATTATATATATCTTGCTGCCATACGTTGGCACCTTCTGTCTTCTCTTTTTATGACAAGCATTCGCACCTGACTGGGCCAGAGCGCAGTGGAGTGAAGGAGGATATCGATCCCAGGGCCAGTGGAGGGATGAATGGGTCCATGTACCTATGTGAAGGCGAAGCGTGCCCAGCTATGTTCACTTCTCCAGTTGACGGCATGTCTAATATCATTAACAACCAAGTGTTGTAAGCATTTGGCCATTTGTAAATACCCCAAATTGATGATGCGTCACATTTGCATTGTTTTTAGGATGTTTTGAACGTCAAGCCCTAACACGTATATGTATAGCTTCTCCTGATGTTCTTGGCTTACTTTCAACTCTTTGTTGATTGTCACTGAGCTGCTGTTGGCTGAACCTCGATGGATGCCAAAAGCGTGACGTATTCTCCATTTAAGCAATGTTGTAGTGTGAGATTGGAAGGATCCCTCTTCTCCGTCTTACAATTGATAAATTAGGCTGCGGGGAAGTATTTTTCATGATTTTGATTATTGAATGTGACCGAAAATTTTGCATACACACTTCTGACTTGGATTACTGAATTGTAGATCGTTTATCTACAAAAATCCTTCACTTCACAAGCACATTTGTCAGCCTCCAGCTGGTGTGATTTGGCCGAAGAGGGTATGTCTTTTCAACGTTTTTTTGAGGTTCATATAAGTTGATCTTTGACGCTTCTCATTGTTTGAATTTTTACTGTACAGATACATTGGCTTGTTTTTGAGGCTTATGAAAGATTTGGTATGGCTTGTAATGCAGACTATATCGGAACAGGATGTAAAGATGCAGCCACTGTGGCATGAAGACAATGGACAAGGACACAGGAACTATGGTGGAGATAGGCAACAAGGATATGATCGGTGAGTACATGTTTGTCCTTATTCGGTTTTTCAAACTAATTAAATTACTCAGAATGAACTATCGGCTCTCTTGTTTTATTTATGTTTTTCCACCTTGGACTTAACACTTGACTTTTACCACTGCTGTGCTGATTTGAGGTTGGCTTCATTGAAACCCAGTTGCTTGTCTCGATCAGCCATATGAGCCTCTGATGTGATCTTTTTCACTGTCCAGATCACAAAGACAGAGTCCTGCAATTGGTGAAGCTGGCAAGCTACTTGTTACAAACAGTCTATCCTTCAATCACTCGCACCTCCACCAATACAATGGTATCAACAATCAACACCAACAATATCAAAGCGCTCCTGCTGGTGGAGGTAGACCTGGAGTTTTGAATGGTCCTCCACAATCACACATATCTTATGGTAGAGGGCCATACGAACAAGGTTATTCGAGTGGTTCTCATTACAATGGCAGCTCTAGACAATCTGTAGGACATGCACCCCGTGACAGCTCATACCACAATGATAGGTCTGTCTATCCTCCTAGAATTCCACCATCGCACTCATCCTATGTTCCACCACAATATCCTCCTGTGAATGGGTACTATGTACCTCAATCACATCAAGCATCTCCGCCTGTTGGTGGCCCCGGTTTACTTGGTGGCCCCGGTCTACTGCAGCCAGGCGCACTACAACAAGGAGGATATCCTCCATTAGTTTCTATGCCTCTGATACTCGGGACTTCAGAGGCGGCGTCGAGTTGGGGTCATAGAGCGCAGGTACCTGTTCAAGCTCCCGTACAGCATGGTTACCAAAGAGGTGTGCAGAATCCACCTCCAACAACCAACAGTTTTTCTGGTTTTGACAATAGAGGTAGAAGCTCTCAAGACAGGGGTCGAGGTGGCAATTATTACAGTCAAAATAGACACTAAGAGGGTGCTAGAAACTGGGAATTTGATATTTTCGGTTTTTTAGTAGAGGACTTGAAAGATTATTTATCGTTTTGTAGATTAAGATAACCTTCGGACTCCTGGTTACAAGTTGCCAGTACACGTCAGCTCTCTGGCTTCCCCCGCCTTGTGACGGAGACTTTCCCATGTCCCTTCCAACTCTGATAGCTTGCTCTTCCTGTCCATATTTCCTCCAGTTAGTTTGAAGCGAAGCCTAATTTATTTTTGCAAGGCAGTGTACTTTTCACATAAGCTCGCAGGCACCTTTACTTCAAAGCCTAGATAACCAGATTTAGTTTTGCTATTTTCGGAGATGACGGTCAGTCTTCCTGGGATATTTAGCAATCTACACACTGAAACTTACGTTTGACAACGATTCTAAATCTTTGTATGCTCGAGTGTAAACCTCATTCCTACCTGAGATGTAGTGAATTGCCATCTAGTAGTTCTAGACGACGTGAAGGTCCTATGAAGGTGTTATCGATTCTAGATGCGTAGTATTGCCAGTATGTGGACAGGAACATCAAAGTCTGCATTGTCCAGTATGGTCTTTGAAATCTTTACTATTCTCATGTTGTAATTAGCTGTCTCTCAATTTATTTTTTCTCCCACTACATCAATTTCTTTGTGATGGAACTTCTATGTAACTGAATGGAAGGTAATGGATTTAAGATAAGTGTCCAACTGTCAGATTAGCATTTCTTTCCGTGGTTGACGATTCTACTATGACCGTGTCTAAAAGGAAGATATAAAATGAAATGAAATAAAACATTATCAAAAAGAGAAAATAAGACTTGTTTGGTGTAAAATGTTTATCCTTCTGATATGTCAGTATTATTTTTGCAAACAAGATTAAATGTTTTGTAGATCATTTACATGTGTTCAATATTTATAATTAAGAATGAATTGAAATTATGAATACATATATTTATTCCTTAGCATGTTATTTTAAAAAAAAATGCATTGCTTATTTGATTATGCAAATTTAGTGAAGGATTTGATAATATTCTTTATTATACAACAATTGCAAATTGTGATAAATATATACCTATTCCATATGAATGAGTTTTTCATTCCCACAATTGGTTGTGAAATAATAAAAAGATCTTTATTAAGAACATCCATATTATAAATTTTAAAGTAAATAATTATTGATTTTTTTATATTGTTACATTATAAAATATTACAACTGAAAATATATCAACTATACTTATCAACATATACAAAATTGTTTGTAGGTAACAATGCTACAAAAACTTTCTATGAATATAATCTTTATTTTATTGTTTACTTGAACATAATAATTATAGATTAACATTAAAACTCCTTTGCTTTTAGACTAACATGTTATAATTAGCCTCAAAGGTATAATAAAGAACTTCACAATTTGAATGAATTTATAGATGGATGTATGGAGGTTTGGACAATTGACCACATGCACATTCTTATCAAATATTACAAACACAACCCTCCACTTCTATTTGTTTACAAGCAAGAAACAACAAGGATAGTAAAGAAAAGAGAAGTATTAAAGATGGTTAGAACATGAATTTGAACAATTATTAGATTATAAATGTCTAAACAAACACATAAATAGATATATGACCTTTTGGATAGAAGAAAAAATACTAAAAATAATACCATTATCTTTAATATATGAAATTTTTTAATTAACATTTTTTTCCATTAAAGTATTTTTATAATTTTAAAAATAATTTAAACTTTAATTTGGAGAATATGATTTAAGCAATAAAATAATTTTATACTCATAAAAATTCATACACAAGTCATATTATTTGTATATGTTTTGCATTAGTATATAATATTAGCTTATTTTAAATTATACATAATATTATTTTTAAAATTTCTTATTTATACTTACTTCAAATTCTTAGTAGAAATATATTTCTTTCTTTATAAACTTTAATTCTATTTTAAATGTAAAATTATTTATAAAATATATAACATAATCATATCTAAACTAATTTTTGTGTAGTTTTTATTTAATAGTCAATATTTCATTATTTTTATTTTGTGACTTTAATTTTTTAATAATATTAATTATAATTTACTTTATATTTTATGAAATAGATATTTTTTAATATATCATGTTTAAGTGTGAGATAATAGAAACATGTACTATTTTGATCTACTTAAGAATACAAAAAATATAGGCTCAAGTTACAAATATACCTCGAATTGCTATATGCACATCTATTATGTCTATATACACATCCATGACCTTAGATTGGTTGATCTAAATTTCTTCTTTCTTGTCCTAGTACAAGTCTTATCTCCTTCTTTGTTCTATCATAGGTTCCACTCATTTTTTTCCTTGTTTCATGTTGGGATAAAGAAGAAGGGATTTGTATTAGCCAATCAAAGGTCTTGAATGTATTTATAGATATAATAGATGTACACATAACAATTTGGATTATGCTTATAGCCAAAGCTAATATATGTATGTATATATATATATATATATATATATATATATATATATAAAGTAAAAACTAAGATTTTAGGCTGTAGTGAAAGCTTCAATTATAAAAAGAGCTATGACTTGATTTTAGATTAATAAACAAAATCAAACATTATAATATTAAGATTTTATATTTAATAATGCATTACTATGAAAAATTGATGCAATAATAACATTAAAGATTTTAAATTAAAAATTAATAAGTATTGAGGACATGAATTTCAAAGAACTAAAAGATCAATATACTCTTTTGTCATTCAAAAATGATTAGATAATCATTCAACGATAGTGTAATATTAAATTAGAATAGCTACTACTAAAGACAAAAAGACTAGAAAATCATAAAATAAGACTAAGGACTAAAAAAGTATTGACAAGAATGAAGAAGGCTTCACTTGTGCTTCTATATATTTCATCTAACTAGGAGCTATATAGTGATGTCTTATAAGACTTTCAACATGTGTTCAATTTGCAAGACACTTTTTTTTAACTTGCAAAGCAAGTTTCTTACATATACGCCATATTATTAGCTTGTATCACAAGCTATCAATACGTATGACACATGACAGATTTATTGGCTAATTTTCTAACTTATCAATCAATTACAAATATATATAAAAACTATCACACATCTATAAAGCTTCTAAAAATTTACTTATATTTATCTTTTATTTTATTTTATTTTATTTTATTTTATTTTATTTTTAAATCTAAGTAAGTATGCATGTTCATGACATTATCTCCCCTCCATCTTCTTATCTCTCCCTTCTTTCCTCTCTCCTTTTAGAGACAAGTCCTACAAAAAACCACAATTATATGTTGAAGAAGTGAAGAATGCAACAAATTGTATTTGCTATATATTTTGATCTTTGTCTTTGAAAGTAATTAATAAATTTTCTAAGCTATTGATAGTATCCCATATCAAGGCAGGAAGAACATCCTATTATTTGATTAATGTTAAAGCCTTCATAACTTCTTTAAATAAAAAATTTAGAACATTGTCAAGAGTCATTTCTACCTCCAATAAAATCTTCAAATATTAAAAGTCTCTTCTAAAGTTTTGAGACCAAATGTATTGTATCTTGTCATCTATTAAAAAAAATTATGTTATTTTTGAAGATCTTCATCTCTATTACAATGTCTTGAAGGCTATCACAATTACAATATTTCATCTAGTAGTCAATAAATGATAGCTCTTAAATTGAATAGTTGATTATAATTTTCATCTTGTTAGTGCCAAAAATACATAAAAGTAACAAACAAAGGTACAAAGTAGAATGTAATTTGTCTTAAAAGATGTTTTTTTTTTTATAACAAAGATTTTTTTTGTTTGTTTGTTTGTTTGTTTGTTTTTTTTTTTTTTTTTTTTTTTTTTTTTTTAATTTTGATTTGAAGAATTAAATTGATAAAAAATATGAATTTTTTTTGTAATATTTGTAAGGTTCTACATTGGCTTCTATGTATATTTATTAACATCATATTTATACCAATGAACTAGATATTTCAACCTATTTTGGCACTGTCTTAAATCTAAGACTTTTTCTACCTCATATTCTTGATTATTATTTACTTCTATAAGAAGAAAAGGTATTTGTCATCTTTTTCATATATCTATTGTCTTATATGACTCAAGAAGAAAAATATGGAATACAAGGTAGATCTTCATAGACTTTGGTAAGTGTAATTGATAAGCAATTGGATTAATCTTTTCATAAATAGGAAATAGTCCAAGTCTACAATATTGATTCATCTACTTCATTTATCTATTAATTTGAAGATAAAAAGCCAAAGAGAGCTTTATATCTACTTTTATAATATTAAAAAGTATTTTTTAAAAATCTTTTTACAAATTGAGTCCATCTATTCAATATAATATCCTTGGACAATCCAAAATAGCAATAGGTGTTGTCAAGCAAAAGCTTAGGTATTTCTTCACTTGTGATAAATTTTGTATATAGTACAAAATATACCATCTTAGTAAAATATTTTACTATCAAAAATATAGAATCATGAGAATCTAAGATTAAAAGATCCATGATAAAATCTATAGAAACAAAAGACCATAGTTGTTTAAGAATAGGTAATGGCTGAAGAAGTCTATATAATTGATAGCGAGGAATTTTTGATCTTGAACAAACATTAGATGATTGCACAAAGTCTTTGATTGCCTTCTATATTAAAAGCCACCAAAAATCTCTATATGTTATCTTTAAAGTTTTATTGTATCCAAAATGTCTAATTACTTGAAAGTTGTGAAAACCTTAAAGAATACACTATCATGTATCACCTTCTGGAATATATAAGTGATCCTTGAAATAGAATAGATTATTTTTGAATTCATTCTTAAGAGTATCATAAAACTTTGAAGAATTATTTTAAATATCATGAATAATAGAATCAAAAGATATATTTGATTGAATTTGCTTGAAAAATATTGAATCAATATTAAGTGTTGATTTCTTTGGTTGAAAATGAAAATATTTTGGCTTCAAAAAAATTTCTCTGTGTTGATCAAAAATTATATTTGTTTTTTTAGGTACAAGATAAAAATATATAAAAATAGCATATAATGAATTTTGTTGCTTTCTTAATCAATAAATAACTTTGAAATCAAACCTCCACAAATACTTACTCAAATAGGCTTAATAATATTTAAAAATACATGTTGATATAAAATATTTGAGGTTCTTATGATCTATATTAATGATGATTGGATTGAAAGTGTTTTCTACATAATTATATCATTCTTAAAATGAATCTATAATATCATGAGGTTCTTTGCCATAAATTTCATAGTTGATCTTTATTGGTGAAATTATTTTGTGATAAAAAGCTATTAGATGGAATTTATTGTATGTTTCTATTTGAAGCAATATTGTTCTTACAAAAAAATTTGATGTATTTATTTTTATAAAAATTTCCTTAAAAATATTGATGCAATATAAGATTAGTGTAAAAATAAATGTTGTCTTCAAAGCTTCAAAAGACACTTCAACTTCTTTGCTTTGCTCAAGTTTGTCTTTATATTTAAGACATGTAAAAAGAACTATAACTTGAAAAAAGTTCTTGATGAAGATTCAATAATAATTAATAAATTTCAAAAAATATTTGATATTTCTTATTATTTTTGAG